GATATTTTGTCCGCCTTGCGGAGACAATGTTCTTCGAAAACATTTGACTCGTGTAAGAGAACCCTATGACACCATATAAAACTGCCGAATATCTCTTGGGGATCCTATTTGTTTGTTGGCCCAGTAGGAGGTACGGCCCTGCTTACACGGCCATAGCAACCACGTAGATGTAGGTGTCGGCTAGGGGGGGGGCAAACTCGAGCAAGAACCATACCTGAGGGGGGCAGGCTTTAAAACAAGAAAACAGATATATAACAAACAGATATATTTGGACAAAATCAAGGTCATGGATTTATAAATATGCCAAATTTTCAAAATACAATTTGGAAAAACTGTAGCCAGAGGGGGCAAGCTGTTGTCAAAATTTTCATTTTGGGGGCACAGCGAATAGAAAGACGCAAGACGCACCTTTTGTTGAAACCGCAGTCCGTAGATAAACCATGTTTAAATCCGGAGGCCGCAAGTTAAAATATAGCCTGTGCTCCAGACCCTTAACCTTAAGGAAGTCAATCAGCTACTACTCAACCTTCACGAATTTATAAAACCAGGATTCAGCAATAATTTAAATGGAAACAGTTTATTCGATTTTGGTTTTTCTAGATTCTTGTAATGATTTATTTGTAGTTGATTTATACGCAAATTAAATGACCTTCTTTATCATTACTTCCTTGTTTGATGTCATTGGTCTTCAATTTATGAAAATACTGTGATAGAATATTCTGATTATTTAGTCTACTAACAGCTATAACGACAAGAAAATGCCAAAAATAGTTCAACTTTGCTAGGTTATTCTACCAATAGTTTCTAAGTTTTGGAAAAACTGTTAGATTTGTATTTCAACGTACATTGTCTTTACATTTTACTAGAACAGCTTGCGACAAATTGTTCTTGCCAGGGGAGAGAACCTTCTGGGCTATAAAAATATTTGATAAATGCAGTACGAACTTCGTTTGCTGTGAAAGAACTGTTGTTAAAAGCTTTCCCTGTAGCAATAAGCTGAAAAGCCCCAATAGCAGCCTTGTCGGCATTACGCCAGTCACCGGGCATTATTGCCCCAGACCCATCTTTTGCGTCAACAAACCCACTAGGTATATATTGCGAGTTGCCCGTTAGTATCAAATAATTATGCGAGCACAAACATGCCTTTACAATGTTATCAACATTCTCTGGTGCACCACGTATTGGTCGACGGAAACTTCACAAGCGAGCAGTTAAGATACCAAAAGCATTTTCGATTGTTCTTCTGCATCGACTTCGCCTATAATTAAAAATTGCATTTTCTTTTGAGAGATTTTTTCCACTGTATGGCTTCATTAACCAAGTTTTTAGCCCAAAAACCTCGTCACTCACAATAACATAGGGTAAGAGATGCCCAGCATGGTTGCTAGGTGCGGGGATTTTCATTTGATTGGAAAGAAACGCTTGCCCCATCTCAGAGTTATTGAAAAAGGAATGCATCGTTTTCTTTACCGTAGCTTCCAACATCGACCATAGTGAAGCAGTAGCGAGCATCGCACATTGCCATAAGCACAATACTAAAAAACCTTTGAAGTTGTAGTACATTGAGCCTGAGTAACCCGGACATTCAATAATAATGTGTTTGCCATCAAGAGAACCAATACAATTCGGAAAATTCCATTCCAGAAACATACTTTCAGCAATTTTTTCCCATTCCTCTTGTTTTGAAGGCTGCTTCAAGTATGCATCATTCAGAGCTTCCCAAATTGCTGTACACGTCTCTTTGACAATGTTGTGTACGGTTGTTTTTCCTACGCGAAAATTATAAGCCAGTGACTGTTGAGAATCGCCACTTGCCAGATATCTTAGCGTAATGCAAAGGCTCTCTTCCTTTGAGATTGTTTCTCGACTTCTACATTTTTTTTTCGCTTTTGAATGGCGCTACCAGTTGTAGAAGATTTTGGAAACGTGCTGGGCTCATTCTCAGAAACCTAGAAATCAGTGATGAAAAAGTTGGCAACTTGATCTTTACTTTGGATTTTTATGTTCATTGTTTAAGAAACTAAGGCCCTTAGCTGGAAGGGATATTTTCAGGGCATTTTCAGGCCCACGGAAGTTTAGACAATGATTTTTGTAAGGGCTTCCAATGTACGTAGTCAGATTTTAAAGTAGCCATGAATGTAGGCGGCATTGCGTAAGGGGCATGCCGGCGAAAGGGGGTACCTACGTGAAATGCAAATTGGCACCCCATCTCCGTTTCTGAAAGGTGTGGGGGCACGTGTATCCTCTTCCCCATGTCATCCAATACATCATTCTATTTTTTGATTTTATTTTCTATGCTTAGAATCACAAAAGTAAAGATATGTCAACACATTTTGCTTTCTTTAAGCTCATATAAATGATCCTATTTTCTCTCTGCTTACCTGAAGAAATATTCGCTGTCCAACAGTCCAATATTCCTGCACAAGTGTTTCAAACTGGCCGAACTGTTTGCGAGCAGAAAATATTTTTCTGACCCAGAATCTCTTCTTACTGTATTTCTTGCCTTGCAGCAGCCGCTTTTTCTTTCGCAAAAGAGCGATTAGCATCAAAAGTTGACCTTGGGTTTCTAGCTGGCCTTTATCAGCAGCCATATTCCCAAACTTTTTACGGAACTGTAGTTTTGGCGCTCAAATACTGTTTTTCGCATCGGGGATCATCCCCGACCATCGAGGAAAATCCCCGACCGTCGGGGATGGTCCACGACCATCGGGGATGGTCCACGACCATCGGGAGTGCTGTGCATCGGGGATCATCGCCGACGAATTACGATATATGAAAACCAGGCTTTAGTAAGATTATTTTTGAAAGATATCTGTAATTCCAGGCGTAGGAATCACGAGGTGTGGTCACATTGAGAGAAAGGAACAGGACACTGCTCGATAAGCATAAGCTTTTTCAGTATCCTAAAAACTATCTTCAGATGCTAGGTAGAGACAAATACAAATACAAATTCAATACGAATTGATAAGAATATAAAAGTTTTGAGTATTTTGAATTCTATTCTCTTTTTGGCTTTGTGCAAAATATCTAAGTTGATTTAGTCGTTTAAACCAGACAGGTCAGACAGTTTTGATAAGCGATGCAATGAGTCATGCAGAATTAAATTTGTACTTATTTAAAGAATACTTCACGTTTTGGCAATCAAAAAATGTGATTATTTCAAGCTTAGCAATCACATTTTATGATTATATCAAAAAATCATTGTATTTTTTTAATCCAAGAATAACTTAACTTTGCATCCAAGAATAAAGTAAACCTTCCATATTCATAATCTATTATACAACAATAGTGAGCATTTCAGCATAAAGTTGAATCTTCGTTTTCTTGCTCCATGATTTGCAGGAACTTCTTGGCTAAGTGGACCATTCACATCACACCAAGTGGATGAATTTATTGTCAAACTATTCAAACAATTTTATGCTTTCATGTCTTTGTCTGACATGAATTCAAAACATGAAGTTCTTTCCTTTTTGTCTGCACCTTGTCTACACGGCTAGAGGAACTCATCTTCTAAATACAAATGTCTGCATATTATGTGTGTTTGATTAGGCACATAAACGGCAAATAGCGAAAGCTTTCTGAAGCATTTTATAACGACTTTTTTGAAACTTATTTGTTGGTTAATTTTAAATGTTACACTTTCTTACATGCACTAAACGAGTTGTGAAACGAAAAGAAAATACTTTGTGCCTTAATTTTAGCTTGTTTTGACTTGATTGATGTAAATTTAGAACAAATGAAAATTAGCAGAGTTCACTTTCCTATTAAAAACCTGCCAATATCACAAAGGGGTATAGTAGAACGATTAAACATGACTTGAATTTTCAATATTTCTATTGAAAGTTTTTCTTGACTTCAATTGAAATGAAAGAATCCCTTGCGGCTAATGGATTTTCGGAAGCAGATAATAACGCTTACACTCGTGAACAAGCCGCAATTTTATAAAAGTTTTGAGAGGGTGCATCAATAATTTAAGCAACATCATAACATATAAACGGTCTTGAAAAATAACTTAATAGCTCTTCAACTTTTGCTCAATTAGAGATAAAGCATGAATTTTGTACCATGGCTACTCCTATTGATGCATCATAAATTTAACTCAATTGGTAAGTAAATATGTTTGATTATGAAGACATCAGAGTTTCTTTGTCGCAAAATAGATTGGACTGTTCTTCGATTGACAGTTTAGGTGTAGAAAGGTGGGATTATTCTTCGAATAGAATAGGTGCAAAGGGGTATGATTGCGCTTTGATTGACAGAATAGATGCAGAAAGTTTGAACTGTGTTTTCTATTGATAAAATAGGTGCAGAAAGTTTAGACTGTTCTTCGATTGTCAGAATAGGTGCAAAGGGGTATGATTGCGCTTTGATTGACAGAATAGATGCAGAAAGTTTGAACTGTGTTTTCTATTGATAAAATAGGTGCAGAAAGTTTAGACTGTTCTTCGATTGTCAGAATAGGTGCAAAGAGGTGTGACTGCTCTTCCGTTGACAGAATAGATGCAGAAAGTTTGAACTGTGTTTTCTATTGATAAAATAGGTGCAGAAAGTTTAGACTGTTCTTCGATTGTCAGAATAGGTGCAAAGAGGTGTGACTTCTCTTAGATTGACAGAAATGGCCCCCCCCCCCCCAATATGAATTTCATTCCGACGGCACTGCAAGTAGAAATAAAATTAAACTTTAATGCAATACTTTCTTTCTTTCCGAACAAAACCTGTTTCCACTCTCATGTTGATGTTGCTTCAGCCTTGCTCTTTTATGTTAACAGAAACAATAAAAGTGTTCTGCTGTTTTCCGTTTTCTTTCCCTGCAGTATTATACTTAAAGCCGCAGTGGAATGTACCAAGTAAAAGAAGATTTCTAGTATTTTGAAAAACCAAATCACAAGAGAACTCTACGTAAAGCTAAGACAGAGAACATATATTCACTACCAACATATTAGAAGGGCACATAGCAGAATCATTTTTGGCATTGTTAGTGGAATAAGTTCATATGTTACCTGTGCTTATAGAGCATCAATCTCCAATGTAGAAAATCGTGCATGCCACATATGAATTAATGCTTAATCTCATCTTGACCCTAATGCAATCTTGTTGACATTACAGCTCCCTGTAAAAAATATAGAACATTTTTAATAGAGTCATACAAGCAAGAAACATATAACAGGAGTATAAAACATTAACTTTTACAAAAATAAAAAAGTGCATGTATGTCCCTGATAATTGTTTCTTCAAAACTTGTGAAAAAAAGAACAAAACTTTTAAAGCATATTCTGTCAGCTGTAAAAAGATGCTTTATTTGTCAGCCTGGGTAGGTTCAATTAGAAACTTTTCTATCTAAACAGAGCTCATTTCACTAGCGAATTTTCTTGGGAGAATCTTGCTAAATTTGCTATTTGCTGTTATGTCCCTGATTTAGGAAACTCCTAATACGTAACATATTTGACTTTAGTCTTGTAAGGAATTTGGTAAGGATAGCATGGTTCACCTCAAACATATTGTCACCTGATGTGTCAAAATTTGAAAAAGCTACAAAAGTCAAAGGTTTCTTTTTATCTCAAGTTTTCAATAATATCTGAGCAAGCAGTAGCTAGAATCTGCGACCTCAAAAAGCTCAGTCCCAGTTGCAATCTAAATTTAAACGATGAAAGATTAACAGATATTCGAACAGCTGTATTTTGTCAACAATAACCACAAACAAATAAATTTTTGAAGCGCTATACGCCCACGTTCCTCTGAAGCAGAAAAACATCTTTTGCATATATTTTGAGACTTGCAATTGCTTTTTAAAGGCTCTTGTGCAACTGTCACGCTTTGTGAAAATTATTCAAAGAACCGGCCTAATACCATACTGCATGAAAATACAAAGCACAGTCAATTTTTTCAAGACAACTGCCGCTAAGCATGCCGGTTGCACAAGAGCCTTTAAGCACTCATTGGTAATATCGCTATTCAATTAGCTTTAAAGGCATTCGACACAGGTAAAACGAGACTTTGAGGCAAACGAGATTGCGCACAGAGAAAAGCATGTGAACATTTTCCCGCCTTTTCTGCAAATCAGCGAAACCTTAGAGTGGTTTCATGTGAAAAGTTTTAAATTCATTTTAAACGCGCATGCTCTGATCGAGTTATTTTTGGATTCGCTGTACTTATGCATGTCAAATGCCTCTAAAGGAAAAACATGATGATGGTTGCTTTTGTTTTTGCAACACCGAGCAATTGGGCAAGTTCTGTGTTATCTTTTTTAGAGATATTGTTAATAAGATTTTATGAAAAGAGCCCTTTTGTTCCAGGAAAAGGGTCCTGCCATGTCATTCCTGTCACCCAATTCGAGCCTTCTGTGATCTGCTCGTTTTCTAATCATTTGCAAAATCAACGTAGAAATTTTCAAATCTATTTGATCTATCTGTTTGTAATCTTCAACAGTAAACTTTGTAAAGGTTTATTTAAAAGACCAATTATGTTGTTTTGTTTTGGTTTGCTCTTATCTGGACTAGACAGATGAGATTCCTAAAAACAAGAGAAACTAGAGTCATATCATAGGATCACTGTCCAGACTATTTTTTGTGCACGCCCTTACTCCTGTTATTCTCTTTCTACTTAAAATTGCTATGTTGTGTCTGTTACATACCATATTTAATAATTTTTCTAGTTGTAACGATGCTGTTTTGGAGGGTTTAAACACTCTTTTTAAAGTGGAGTAGAGACAACCGATGCTGCCATTTTTTCAAAGTGTTTCGTTACTAATAAATTTACTTCATTTTTTAATTGTTATCATAGTGTAAGATATCTTTATTGATCAAGTTGGTAGAGAGTTGTTGGAAATAATAACAATTAAGATAAATAGTCCTTCTCTGATGATATGACATATTGTTTATGAGATGATGCATATGGTCAATTTGGTATTAGCAAGAATAAAAATACTTAGTTAACATAATTTTTCAATTTCGCAAAACATTTTCTCAAACTTCTTAAAGTCACAAAATTGCAAGCTGGCAATTAAATGAAAAAGTCTCATTCAGTTATAGAAGATGGAAACAGATTCATGTTTTGTCATTTCTTTGCATAAGAAAGTTCATGAATAAGATGGATAGGATGGATAAGAAGGTAAATAGCAACAGTAGCAACTTGAGTTTAAAATAAAATGGATGGATGGTGCTTACAGTTTCTTTCATTCTATCATAACACATTTCTTACCAAATACAGTGTCTTGTCTCGGAGTACGGTAGAAAGGTTAATGTCTCACAGCCATCCCATTGCATTTTCTTCAAGTACACGACCCTTTCGGTAATACTTAATGTAACAACGTAACTAGGCTGTTGTCAAATATAAATGCATAAGCATGCTCAGTGATACCCGTCCATATAATATGCGCCATTTCCTTGCAATTTAGAGAACCGCTACGTCCACCCTTTACCAGCAATCCGCCAATAATATCAGACACTATAACTTAACTAATAGCAAAGCAACATGATAGGCTACTGCGCCTTCCACTCTGCAATGACGAGTGAAACTCTCGGGAAATCTCCCAAAATTTTTGCATGAAAATAACATTTATTGCGCAAGCGCTAAAAATTCTCCATGCGATTGCTTGTCAACTACGAGTAAAACATTTGTATCAAACAGGAGGGGCAGATCCTGGTATCCTCAGCAAAAGGCCATGTTTTTCTAAATTGCTAATCCAAAACGAATGATTAAGAATTATGTTTAAAGAGTCACTGCTAACAATGAGCCATTGCGCTACGTAAGCATCCCATAATGCATTTTTAGACTGTCTAAAATCAATTACTGCCATTGTTTGGACAATCGCCACGCTCGCAAAGGCCCATTGTTAGCAATGAGTCTTTCAGTCCTAACTCAAAAACAAGAATTTTTGGACTATAATTATATTATATTACATTATATTACAAGCAATTTTCATAAGACTAATAGCATCTATCAAAATGCATGATAGTCTTTTTAAAAGGTACAAGATAATAGGATATGAAATTTAGCATCCATAATTCAGTTCGAGTTATTTCAGGCCTCTCCTGCAAAAATATACTGTAAATAAAATATTTCAGCCATCTCCTAAGAAACGGGTCAAACATTTTTCAATATTCTTTTTTTTATTGTTTTATAGTTATATTATAGTTATATATTTTGGCACAAAGCTAAAATAGAAACTTTGTCTTTACATCGTTACTTTTACATTTGGCGTGAGCATGAAGGCCACGAACTTTGGCTCGTGGTGGCTACGAAAAGGCAGCTAGAAATCATGCTAAAACGCGACAGAAGTATAAATATCACAGCTCATTCAGCTCGTAAGATCTTCTTGACTTTGCTTATTATGGTCTTTCTGTGGAATACAAACTAAGAAAATAGTCTATCATCGATGGATTTAATATTGAGTGCGCGATTCTTGAGTCTCGTTATTATCTTCGATATAAGAAATCAGAGACAGCTCTCATTCCACAGACAGCTCTCACTCATGCCACCAATTCAATTATTTCTTCACGGACAGTAACTTATACTTTTTAAGATAGGTTGCAAAATTTCATAAAAGCAGTGTTTAAATTCCATTCAAATAAGAGAAAAACAAAAACTTGGATGGAAGTTATCTTTTTTTATGCTAGAAAATAATACCCTAATTACTGTACTGCTCTACGGGGACGATACCATGGCGAGCGAAAGACAATGACTACCCCATTACCCAGGGGCGGATCCAGAGTGAGGTCCTTGGTGCACAGAACTCAGTCAGTTTTTCGACATATAGCTAAAAATAGTGTTGCCTGAAATAAGTAATATTTAGACTAAAAAAGTAAAACCGAGAAATTGTAAGTTTTATCGCAGTCTCTTCGAAATCTTAAAATTGCCAGTTTGATGTAATTCATTCGCCCTTTTCCTTCCTTCTTCTCTGTCGTGATTTTGAAACGATTTTTCAGACGCTTTGGAGGAAAGCAGCAGTCAATCCTAGAACTCGGAAATAAACGTTTTGTGCCTCGGAAGTCAATGAATTGGAACAATGAAATTTTTGTTTCGAACACGGATGAACTCAGTCAAAACAACATCTGGAACTCGGAAATGATACCATATTTGTAAGAGAGCTGTAAAACAACCAGTAGTTGATTGGCTACCTATTGTTTCTGATCTGTTGTGGAACTGCAAAACTTTGAATTCGAAATGGCGACTGCAGATGTCTTATTTTCACGACCCTCGCAGCATTTTAGCAGATAATTAAGCGTTTGAGATAAAACCAGGAAGTATCGTTAATTTTCCAGGAGAATTAACAACCTTTAATTTAAATTGCAGTCTTTGGCACCGGCACGAAAAACCTATGCTCAGACGGAACACCATATTTTGATGAATAGGCTGGTGTCTACGTGGGCAAAACAAAAAATTGCGAGTAAAACAAAAGGGCAAACTTTGCTGTGGCATCCAAGACAAACAAGAGCGTATTTAGAAAGGGAGGGGGTTGCAGAAATTTTCACAGAGGCACTGGTTTCTGTCGGAAAGAAATCTATAATCTAGATTTAGTGAGTGGGTAGTACCTACCAGCCCTTCGACCCCCCGCCCCCACCCCCAAATGCATAAATGTGAATAATTCAGTTGTCACATTTATCAATGCATTACCTGAAAGAACCTAACCTTGGCCTGGAACTCAGTCAGATTTTTTGCTGGATCCGCCCTAGAATTACCGATACATAAAAGCGTAGAACATTAAGCAAAGATAAATAAATATTTCTAAAACTAGGTAAACTAATTACGAATACAGAGTAAACAGGCAAAAAAGTAGATGCCATTTGTTGTTTTATGGAAGTTATGTTTGTTCCGTTAAAAGCAAAGAGGCAGGCAACATTATCTACTGCTACGGAAAACAATATCTTCATGAAAAAAGTCAATTTCCCAATCGGCAAAAGTAGCAAACATGCATGTACAGTAGACAGCTTGCTGAATGAAGTTCAGGCTGGTTTTTTCTTTATTCGGTTTTAAATTATTAGGGTATATGCAATGGAATCACTAGCTATTGTGCTCTAGGGGACTGTTCAGGCCCTATTTGCCAACAAAGTGAATGTGCTATCTGTTATTACCGAAAGGTTTAAGAACTCTTCGAATTGAGATTAAACTTTT